TCTAATAAAACACAGATAAATATAGAGGATTTGTTCACATAAGAATGAACTTGTGCAAGTAATTTTATTTTGTATGTAATTAAAATATCTTTGGCTCATATATAAATACAATTTTTGTTATGGTAAAATACACACAATGTAAAACTAATCATTGTAACCATTTTTAAGTGTGCGCTTAATGATATTAAATACATTCATAGTGAACCATTGCCACTATCCATCTACATAACTCTTTCATCTTGTAAAACTGGAACTCTGTACCGGTTAAGCAGTAACTTCCTCTTTGCTACTCCCTTTGCTACCTCTGGCAACCAACATTCTTCTTTCTGTTTCTAAGAATTTGTCTACTCTTAGTACTTAATTCATTGTAAGTAAAATCATACAGTATTTATGTTTTATATATTTTATGACTGGCTTGTTTCACTTTGCATAGTGTTTTCAAGATTCATTCATGTTAGAATGTATTAGGTCCCTTCCTTTATAAAGCCAATATGCTATTGTTTGAATGTATCACATTTTGGTTAGCCTTTTGTGTGTCGATGGGCACTTAATTTACTTCCACATTTTGGCAATTGTGACTGAATAATGCTGCCATAAATATGGGTGTTCAAATATATGTTTAAGAATTGTATTAGGGAAGTAGGTTTGTAGTTTTCTTATAGTATCTTTTACTGGCTTTGGTATCAGTATAATGCTGATTTCATTGAATGAATTAGGAAGTTTTCCTTCCTATTCAATTTTTTTTTTTGAAAAGCATGAGAAGGATTGGTTTCAGTTCTTCTATTAATGTTTGGTAGAATTCATTGTGAAGCATCAGATTCAGGGCTTTTGTCAGGAGATCTTCAATTTAATCTCCTTACTTGTTATAAGTCTATTTGGATTTTCTATTTCTTCATGATTTAGTTTTGGTAGGTGTTCAGAATTTGTCCATCTAGGATCACACATAGTGTTACTCATATGTAGCTTTTATTTTTTTAAATTTACTTTCCTTTTGTTACTAGTTTGTTGATTGTTTTAATCATGAAAATGTGTTGAATTATGTCATATGCTTTTTCTGGATCAACTTAGGTCATCAAGTGTCTCTCCATCCTTACCAATTCTGTGAACGTGGTGTATTACGTTGATTATTCATATGTTCAATCATCCTTGCTTTCCAGGAATAAATCCCTTCTGGTTTTGGTGCATAACCTTATTAGTCTGCTGCTGCTTCAGTTTGTTAGTAATTTGTGGATTATTATGTTATTTAAAAGTCCTCTATTTCCTTACATATGTCTGGTTTTCTATCCATTGAGCATGGAGTATTTAACTCCATTATTATACAGTTCCTTTCTTCCTTCATTTCTGCTTTATGTGTAGTCTTCATTTCATAGTCTTTCATTGGGCATATGATGTTTATAATTGTTATATTTTATTTCTATAGTGAAATTTTTGTTAATATATTCTTTGCCTCTTGTAATCTTTTTAAAATTTCAAGTCCATTTTGTTTTATATTTTTACTACAGTCTTGGTCTCTTTTTGTTACTATTTCCATGGAATATCTTTTTCTATTACTTTGCTTTTAGTTTCTTTGTGTCTTTGTAAACAGCTCATAGTTGGATCACAAGTTTTTAAAATCCATTCTGCCAATCTCTGCCTTTTGGTTGAAGAGTTTAATCCATTTACATTTAAAGTAATTACTGATAAGGACAGACTTATTGTTGTCATTTTGACATTTGTTTTCTTTATGCCCTACAGCTTCCTTTTGCCCCTCTTCTTTTGTGTTTAGTTGATATTTTTATAGTGAAACATTTAAATTCCTTTTCATTTTTCTTTCTGTGCATTCTATAGCTATTTTCTTTGAGGTTACCATTGTGTTTAAACATTCTGAGGTTATATCACTAACTTGAATTTATGTCAGATAAACTTCAATAACATATAAAAAGTTGTACAAAATCTTAGCTCTATTAACCACTATGAGTCAACTGCTTTTGATTTAAAAAAATTTTTTTTTGGAGTTGTAGATGGACAGAATGCCTTTATTTTATTTTATTTTTATGTGGTGCTGAGGCTCAAACCCAGTGCCTCATGCATGCTAGGCAAGCATTCTACTGCTAAGCTACAGCCCCATCCCTGCTTTTGATTTTTGATGTCATAAAATTACATTTTTATGTTGTGTGCCCCAAATCATAAACTGATTCTTCTTTTAAGTGCATTAGCATCTTAATTTAATAGAAAATGTGCATTTACAGAATAAAAGACAAAAGACAAAAAACCTCTTTACATTTCTTGCATTTTTTTTTTTTGGCTTCTCAAAATTTATAATATCCTTTGCCCTATATTAAAGTTTATAGATTCTTTCTTCTGCCTGCTCTCATCTGCCTTTGGATTCCTCTAGTGAAATTTTTTTCCAATTATTGTATTTTTCAGCTTAAGAATTTAATTTGGTTCCTGTCTCTTTGTTGATATTGCCATTTTGTTCATACAGGATGTTCTTGAGCATCTTTAAGATATTTTATAGTCTTTGTTGAGTAGATCTCCCATTAGTTCTTTTTAAAGGACAGTTTCTATAAATATGTTTTTTTTCCTTTGAATGGGTCATATTCTCCTCTTTCTTTGTATGTCTTGCCATTTTTTTTTGTTTGTTTAAAATTGGGAATTTAATCATGATAATTTGGTGACTCTGGAAATCAGATTCTCCTCCTTTTCTAGGGTTTGCTGCTTCTGTTGTTGTTATAGGTTATCTCAGTCCTAAGTATGTGCCTGGGAGTAAATGTAATGTTTACCCATACCTTTTCTTGGTCATGTACAATCATTTTGTACATGAAGTTGTTTTTGAAAATTTTAGTCTTTAATGCCTTGTACCCAAAAGAGGAGAGAGAGAAAAATGAAGGAGTGGAAGGAAGGTTCTGGCCCTGAAACTCCCTGGAAGTCACTTCAGCCAAAGCAAGAGGGGCTTGAAAAATTGGAGAAGGGCAACAATAATGGCAGCTCATCTCTGTCTGCACCTCCATGAACAGAGGAAGAAATCAGCAATAACAACATAGATTCCCAAATATTTGTAGGATAAGATCCTTTTTGACCCATTCTATGTCCTGCCAGCTTTGTCTGAGTTGCCCCATAAATATGTTAACAGCTGCCTGCCAGGGGTCTGGGGTGGGGGTGGATGGGTAGCTGTAACTGTACTAAGAACTGAAATTGACTGACATTAACTATGGTTTACCGTCCATCCAAGCATTCACATAGAAGTTACAACAAGCTTTCAGTAGACTCCAGAGTTCCATGAGTCCTTTAAGGATGGGGATACTTTCTGAGAAATGCATCATTTGGTGATTTTTGTCCTTGGGTAAAAATCATAGACTGTATGGCCGTGATGTCATTAGGCAATGCAGTGTTATGGAACCACTATCATATATGTGATCTGTTATTGACTGAAACTTCATTTTGTGACATATGACAGTAGTTAAATCAGATAGGCTCTGTCAGTACAATTGTTGTCTAGGTGAGGAGAGAGATTCTTGGTGCTTCTTATTTTGCCGTCTTTCTAGAATCCTCCTTAAGAACATGTTATGAATTGGGAGTTCCCTAAAAGGGACAGGACAGAGGGCAGAGGATTTTATATTGTTTGAAGTAGAGGTTTTAAAGGCTCTGTATAGTGGCCTTTACTCCATATACTGGGGTATTTTCAATCTTCCCTGGTTAGATTTCAGTAAGATTCCAGTGGTGATGAACAATTTATAGTGGCTTATAGTCCATTGGAACTTGAATCTACTGAGAAGAGCGCATCCATCCCTTTAGGTTGTAAACATGTTGTAAAATCCTTCCATTTGTTTTGAAGGATGACTAATGGGGAAAACTTTTAACAGTTGGCTTTCATCTTTGGACTTGTACTCACTTTGGCTTTTGTTCCTTTCATTCCTGCCATAATAAATTAAAATAATTACTTTTAAGCCAGAGGTTTGTAACTTGTGATTCTTTTTTCTAGGGGTGAAACCCCAAAATTCATATGTCAAGTTGTGTGTGTGTGTGTTTTTAACCTATAATATTACTTCTCAAAAGATTATTATGGATTATTAGCAGAGTCTGTGTTTAGTAGATAATGTTATTCCAGGCAAATCTTTAAAGAAAAAATAGGAGGTCTTCTTTTGTATTTATGCAATATGTTTTCATTACTTTTTTTTCTTTGAAATCTTGTCTCACTTGTACATATTTTCTTCCTTTTGTTTCTCCAGATTTCTTTTTCATTTGTTACAATCTTAACTTATGCTCTCTTATATGGATTTGTAATATATTTTACTCCAGCTGCTTATTACTTCTGACCAATGAATATGAACTTCAGGTTGGGGTCTGGCTTTTTAGAATTGTCCTGTAACAGCATACATGGCATTTTATAAAGAACTGGTGCCTATTAAATATCAATGGATGCTTGTCAGAAGTTACCTAAGAACAACTTCCTGTGGAGATCTGCATACTCAATTTTAGTTGCTTCTACCACTTGCTACTAACTACTGGGTATGATTTGAGGAATATAAATATCATTTTGTGACTCTTGGATAATTACTATGTAAATTCATTTGATTGTAAAAAATCTTTGAGCTGGGTATGGTGGTGCACACCTGTAATCCCAGTGACTTGGGAGGCTGAGACAGGAGGATTACAAGTTTGAGACCACCCTTAGCAACTAAGTGAGGAGTTCCTGTCTCAAAATAGAAAATGAAAAGGGCTCGGGATGTAGGGGATGTAGCTCAGTGGTTAAGTAACAACAACAAATGTTAAAATGTTTATATGTTAAAAAAGATGCCTCTGGGTTCAATCCCCAGTACCCAAAATAAACAAACAAAAAACAACCAATCAAACAAGAAGACCCCAACAACAACAACAACAACAACAACAACAACAACAACAATCTTTGATTCCTTTAAGGAAGGAATCAAAGGAGTAATCTCATTTATTATGCATCTGTTTTGGGATTTTATAATGTAAAAATATTACTAGTATTATCAATATTATTGTTTATTTTGCAGTGAAGGAGATAAACCTGCAGGATCTCAAGGAGGATTTGGAATTGGATCCAGAGGAGAACAGTACCCTTTTTATGGGTATCCTCATCAAGGGGCTGGCCAAACTGAAGAAGATACCAGAGACGGTGAAGGCTATCAAGGAGCGCTTAGAGCAGGAGTTAAAGCAAATTGTGAAGAGGTCTACCACCCAGGTGGCAGACAGTGGCTATCAGAGGGGAGAGAACCTCACTGTGGAGAACCAGCCAAGGTAGATGGAGGTGTCACTTGTGTTTTTGATAACTCTTATTTATCATGTATTTTCTAGGGTTCAGCATAAGTAACTTATCTTGGTGTTATCTTCTGAAACTTAGAATACTATATCTCATACAAACATGGGTGAAACAGCTTGACTAGACATATTTTAGCTGTCTGTTTTTTACTGTGAGGAATTTTAAGTCATATTGTTCTTATTCACATACATTGAATGAAAGCTACAGACATATCTAACAAAAGTTTATATTCAACGACATGGAGTGAATAAAGAAATTGAAAGAACATAGCTGGTATTGAACATGCACTAGAACTAAGCAGTTTTCAAGGTGATTTACGTATGTTATCTCATTTGATTTTCACTGTAATTCTGTGAACTAGTTATTACTACTCATATTTTATACTTAGGAGAACTGGGGCTCAGAGACTAAGTAATTAGCCTAAGTTTATAGCTCAGGAGGCTGGTCGTAGAGTCCAGTTACAAGTCCATTTGATTCTAAAGTCCTTGGTCTTCTGTTGCCTCAGACTTTCTTTAGTCTCAGGAATTCCTATAATTATTTAAAACAATCAGTAGAATTTGGGTTTCATAACTTTTGTTTCCTAAAGAAAATGTGGAGATTATATTCTGATCCTAACTCTTTGACTATCATACATTGTGCAATCATGTTTGTCAAACCGGATTTTAGACCAGTGTCATCCATGAAATTGGGGCTTTCCTGGAAAATCAAGGATTCACTATAAAGGGATTTCTGCCCCTACTATTCTTTCCTTCCTTCCTTCCTTCCTTCCTTCCTTCCTTCCTTCCTTCCTTCCTTCCTTCTTTCCTTCCTTCTTTTAGTTGTAGATGGACACAACATCTCTACTTTATCTATCCTTCTATTTATTTTTATGTGCTGCTGAGGATCAAACCCATTGCCTCACACATGCTAACAAGTGCTCTACCACTGAGCCATAACCCCAGCACCTTCTGCCCCTACTTCTGTCCCCAAACTCCCACATACACCAGGCAGGCACTTGGCATGGAGGGAAAACGTGAGTGGAAATGACAGTGTCACCTGAGAATAGCAGTCAGAGGAGAGGATGTCTTCTTGTTTGCTCAATGGTGTGAGCCCCTGAGAGGTGGCAATGTGTAGAGGGGTCATCATCTTATTGACATGCTGTGAGGGAAATTCTACTCATTGTACTGAGTACTTTTAAATATTTTAAAAAGAAGTTAAGCAGATTTGAGGAGAAACAATCATAGCTCATTTAGTATAGACTTCCATAGACATTTTACTTTTGTGGAAAAACTGATACTCTATTTATATTTTTTATATTCTTTTGTGTATCTACATAACATTGATTTTAATTGTACTTTACAACTCATTAAAAAATAATTCCCTTGTGAACTTCATTTAGAAGTACTGTGATTGGTGGAAAAAACTATTGTCTAACCCTCTCCAGTCACACAATGTTTTTTGCAGCAAATTATTGATGAGCATGGGTTTTGGAAAGCAAATCTGACTTTGTATTCTGACTTTGTGATCTGTGTTACAGGGTTGCTAGCTGTAGCCAAGTTTATTTGGATGGTGTTTAGTGTAATAGCACCATACGCACACTGCCTACACACCTGTGTGTGTGAACACACCTGTTTGTTCATGACTGGTGCCTTCTTGTTTCCATGTTTTTGATCACTCATGTCATGATTCAGAGAAGTCAGGATATGATTCTAAATTGAACTTTTCTTCTTTCTTTGCCTGGTTCCTGGGTTTCCATGAATACCTTTTGACTCCTTACTAATGAATACTCTAAAATTCTGGTTTGTTATTTACCCTGTTGCTGAAGTCCCTGGACAAATATGCTGAACTTTCATAGGGAAATAGCATTACTATAATATATACTGGAAATAAAGCAAAAGGGCACAGATCAATACCTTTTCTGCAGATCTCATTACAGTACTCTTAAAAACATCCTGTCTTTCAAAGGGTTTTGACCTCTTCCTCTTCTATTGCCTCAGTCCTTTCCAGAATTCAGGAGTGGAAATTACAGCACTAGAAGTAGAAATTGAGCTCACTGCCCCAGGAAATACTAAATGTTTCTCTGTGAGGAATGAGTCAGCAGAAGGTTTTTTCCCACCTCTCTCTTTAAGTTTCATTTTTTTTTTTTGTCAGTATTTTAAAAGGCTTTTGTGGGCAGGGTATATGGGATACTAACAAGTGAACATGCTGTTTTCCTCAGCTTCTTATCTATAACATAATCCCATTTTATAAAACATACAAATTTAAAAATTCTAGGCCTAAACTCTTTGTTATGAGATAAAAATTACAGAAAAGGCAAATATTTGGGGTGAATCACTTTGTTAGGAGATCAAAGATTAAATTCTTGGGCTGGGATTCCAAATGACTGATAATTTTGAGCTAGTCTTTGGTACTTGTGTGCTATTAAACGCTTTAAAACTCCTCAGGAATTAATTCCTTTGAATTAATCACAATCATTCGAAAGTGATTAGCATTGTTGCTTCTAGTGGATTGGAATTTTAGAAAGGATATTGTCAAATTATCCCTTGAAGCTTGCATGATGTTTTGTGTGTGCAGAACTTCATTAGGGAGGCATTTATTTCAGAGAAAAGTAGAATCGCAGCACTTGCTATTATTATTATTGTATTATCATTGTATCATTGTTTTACTATTCAAGATATAAGAATCTGTTTTTCTTAAAGAAAGTTGGAGCACAGCATAAAAAAAAAACCATGATACCTCCCTAACATGCATATTTCCTTACTCTCCCACCCCGCAAATGGCCTGTTCCATAACATTAGTATGTAAATGCTTCTCTGAAGGAGGATACCAGTAGTGTAACTTTCCCTAAAAATTTCATTGTTCCTCCACGTCTTTTTAAATATATTCTGGTAGCGAGGCATTGCAGGCCTGTTTTCATTTGTCTTTATGTAGAGAGAATTAATGTTGTGTGCTATTTTGCTAGAAATATGGAAAAAACTAGGATAATGAATTCTGTCTTGCTTTAATTCCTACAGAGTCAGAATACTTCCTCAGCCAGTTTTAAAAATCACTTTGGTGGGGCTGGGATTGTGGCTCAGGGGCAGAGCGCTTGCATTGCATATATGAGGCACTGGGTTCCATTCTCATCAACACATCAAAAAAATTAAATTAAATTAAAAAATTGTGTTCATCTACAACTAAAAATATATTTTGAAAAATCACTTTGATGACCCACTTAGGATTTTACTTTATTTTTATCTCCTAAGCTATCTATTGTCTCTTTATAGGAGACATATCTTTTCTGTTCATTCATAATCTGTTGGTATCTATAAGCCTCTACCTACTGTTAAAGGAATGTATTCAACTACTAGTATCAGTAGTTCCGTAAACATTAGGGTAATATATGCTTTTGCTAATCTACCAGAGTCATCTGCCACCCATTGTTTTCTCAGAAAGGAAGGTGGTGTCTTCAGCTTCAGATGACAAATGTGGCCTGCAGCCTCAACAGTTCAGAACCAGTTTCTTCAACTTCTATTGCTTAATTGTTGATTCTTTCCAAAAATCTATAACATAAATATTTTCATATCTTTTTTTGTGTGTGGCAAAGAAGCTGGAAGTTCTCTAATATTTAGCAAATAAGAAAAAGCATGAGGAAGAGATGGAATGAAAATCTTTCTCAAAGATGTGGTGAAATCTTGTCAAGAATAGGAAGAGAGAAGAATGTGGGAAAGAGAATGGTTATCATCTGTAAGGCAGCTAACCACTCCATCTATTTTTCTGTTTAACATGTGAAGGCACAATTTCACTGCAGAGGCTGGGTGTGGTGGGCACCTGTAATCCCACCTCCTTTGGAGAATTTCAAATTCAAGGCCAGTCTGGGCAATTTAGTGAGACCTGTCTCAAAATAAAAAGGACTAAGTATGTAGCACAGTTCTAGAGTGCTTGCCTAACATATGCAAAGCCCTGAATTCAATCCCCAGCAACACACACACACAGATTATTACATGAGGAGATGCTGAAGGCACACTCCACTTTGGTAAAACTGTTGGTCTTAAAGGTGGCGGAAAGAATTGAATGAGTTGGAGCCACAGCTGCCAGAGATATCTTTTTGCAATATCCATTGACCTCTATATGAAGAAGGAAAATTGAATGTCAGCTATGAAAAACAGAGAAATTACTTGTTTTGTGCTCCTGTGGCATGGAAGAAAGTTCATGGAAAACACAGGAAAGAAATACTTTAATCCTTAAAGTAATTGTGTTTGGGTAGCAAGGCTATAGGTTTTATTCCTCCCCCTATTTTATAATATATATTAAGTTATACTGAAATATATTTTATTATGTAAAATATATTTCATATAATAAAATATATTTAAATACATTTATTACTTAAAAATTAAATTTATATTCAAGATATTTTAATCAGAAGAAATCTTTATAAATAAAAATGCCTCTGGGGGTTTAAAATCACCATTAAAGTAAATTTTAGTATGGGAAAATTAACACCTATTTGTAGGCCAACTGGACATTTAAGTTTTTTTTTTAAATAATTAATGTATCTGTGTGTGTGTGTGTGTGTGTGTGTGTGTGTATGTATGTATGTATGTGTGGTTAGTTTTTCAACTGAACCTAGAAAGGAAAAGAGAACTAGTCTACCTTGTTCAGCCCCATACCTGCACAACCTAACACAGTGTCCACCTGACCTATAACAAATATTTGTTGAATGAAAAAATGAATTCTGCACATAGCAAGTGTCTGCCAGGGACCAGACACTGGACTAAAGTGCTAAACAGATCAAACATGGTCCCTATCCTCATGGAATTTAAAGAAAAGCATTATTCAGAGAATGTTCAGATAAATGTTACAAATTATGATAAGAGCTATAGACAAAGTGTGCCATACAAGCATATGGTTCTGGGTTTGCTATCTAGTGTGGGTATGAGGATGTTAGGAAGTAGCCTGTGTTTCACGTGCCATGAAAACATATGACTGGGTATACTATCTAATATGGGTAGTTGGGTAT